GTGTAACTCTAATTTTATTATATTGGTAGCCTGTGCCAGCATTAAATATACTATCTTTTTTTGTGTAGACTCTTACAGACTATAAATTTAGCCTTCCTGACTAATAACATACCACTCCATCCTCTCATAAATTTACATACACTTCTGGCTCCAAAATGCTCCGCAATGCTAAACTGTGGTTTCTGAATGGCAATAGACAAACAATGGCATCTTTCACAGTGTATCTATTGGCTGATATGGACAAATTAAAATACTATATGTTAACAATCCAAAACGCAGTAGTGGGAGTATGAATCTTTAACTTTTTGTTACCTTCTGGGGCATCTTGGCAAAGACACCGGCAACTTCCTCTGTAACCTCTTTGGGCAAAGCATTGATATAAGTTCCCAGACTCATGATGATCACTCCATGTTGCCCGGCACTCTGAACAAACTCCTCCAGCTCTGCTGGCAGAGGCTGAGCTGGTTTGCACTGAAATCCTCCTATATAGACAACATTTGGCATAGTGGGGCGAGGGAACTCAAACACAAAATCTGACCTGAACAACCAAATGTCTGCTCCCTGTAGTAGTGAGATGACGTCACATCCACCCTCAATATACTTATCACACATGTCATCATAGACTGGATCCACCACAAATTTCTGCTGGAACAGTATAATGCTATAGAAAAGAATGTTCTTGATCCTCTGGATGAAATTCATTTTGTCTGTTAAGCCGGATCCTGGCACCGGGATATAGGAGAGTGGTGAGGGAGCTAACACAAAGTGGCCTTCTCCACTGGTGATCCAGCGTACGTTGAGCACTAAGGGAAGCTTGAGATATTTGGCTAGAATGACCCCTGGGGCTAAAGCTGGATCAGTTAGAACCAGATCATACTGGGAATCTCTTAATCTTTTGACCATATTTTGATCATTCAAAATATTTTTCAAAGCATCATACCACAGTGAATGTGCAAAAGAAATTAAAGAAAAAAATTTCTTGGTAAGTATGAAGGCAGTCATCAATGATGCCCCCTCTCTTTCCACCTAAAAAATGGATGAGAAAAGTGAAAAAATAAAAAAAATTTCATAAATAACAGAGTATTTATATTCGGACTCATCACATACCTCCACCTGCTCCTGTAGACACCCACCAAAAAAATGCTCAA